AGCAGGTAAAGTGCTTTATTTTTCTACTAGAATAAGCCGGTAAAGTGCTTTATTTTTTCTACTAGAATAAGCCGGTAAAGTGCTTTGTTTTTCTAATAGAATAAGCCGGTAAAGTGCTTTTTTTTTTCTACTAGAATAAGCCGGTAAAGTGCTTTGTTTTTCTACTAGAATAAGCCGGTAAAGTGCTTTATTTTTTTCTACTAGAATAAGCCGGTAAAGTGCTTTGTGTTTCTCCTAGAATAAGCCGGTAAAGTGCTATGTTTTTTCTACTAGAATAAGCCGGTAAAGTGCTTTATTTTTCTACTAGAATGAACCGATATCGTGTTTTATTTTCTACTAGAATAACCGATAAAGTGCTTTGTTTTTTCTACTAGAATAAGCCGGTAAAGTGCTTTATTCATTTCTACTAGAATAAGCCGGTAAAGTGCCTTATTTTTCTACTAGAATAAGCCGGTAAAGTGCTTTGTTTTTTCTACTAGAACCTTTTCACCTTACCATTCATGCCTTTGTCCTAAATATTCAATTGGTATTTAACAGATGTTTCTTTCACTATAACAGTTGGTGAACATTTATGATCATGGAATGAAACTGAACTCAGTCTGAAAGTAAAAAAAATACTTAGCTTCCTACAGAGACTATTTTTTCTTCCAACGTTTAGAGGTGCTCTTTCACATCAACATTCATATAAGTTTGACTAGAATTTACGAGATTCACACAGTCGAGACGAAGCTTTGTAGTTTCAGAAGAACTGTCACCTAGTGGGCAACATTCCAATTCATGTCTACTGGCAATTCTATGATAGAGTTAAAGTCGTTAACTGTTTCACGCATTCTTTACCTTCATATCCACAGATTGCGCGTTAACCACTGTCGCACGCTCGACTTAAGATTACCTTCCCCTTATCTGTAAGTTTAATAAACACACGGTAGATGTCGTTACTTTAAAATCTACGTTTTATTTCAAGATTTGCAGGTTTTCACATAATATTTCACGAAGTTTTACCGACAAGAGTTTTTTTGCTGTATAAAGAACGCTGACTAGAAGTAAAAGATATGACCACGAAAGGACACGGATAATCACAGAAGCAAACAGAGTACTATAATACTTTCTTTGGTTTCACACAACTCCCGATTAAGGGATATGAAAGTGAATCAGACCTGAGGTTAAGAGGAAACCATTAAGTTTACAGGGAAACACACTCACTTCCAAAATGAATATTTTATCTCTACTCAGTACGCATATTTCTTCAAACGCACATACATCAAACTTTGTAAATGTGTTTATCTATAAAATAAAGATTGTAGAGAGTTACTTAGAAAAAAGCAAAAATAAAAATGGGATCAATAAATTTGGTCTGCATTAGTTATGTTTATAGTAGTTGTTCAACCAGATCATCTCAACTCGTTGGTTACTTTGTAATTGGCAGAGTGTTTAGGTTTTTTTTATGTAGTTTTATTCTGTACTCTGAAACTGTTTCTACAAATCCAAGGCTGTCTATATCTGACTGCTTAGAGTCTTCAAACATTGAAAGATTTTTGGTTATTTAAACGTAAGTACAACTAGTTGTATATATGTATTTTGAAATGAAAGTTTCCAGTTACTTTGAATCTTGGCTTAAAATCTAGAATTTGCTGATATTTCAAACATTAACTTAGACTTTAAAACGTGTCGTTATTTAAAATATTCTAATACGCTGGTAATCCCATTTAAACTAACATTTTCCCAGAATTTTGAAAATGTTTTCACATGCGATTATTTTCGTTATTTTTTAATATGTATATTTTTTTCGGACGTTAAACTCACGCGTGTTTTTATTGTTGTTGTTGTTAACAAAAAACATTTAACTGGTTGAAAAAAAAAACTGCAGGAAGATTATCATTACAGTTGGAAATAACACGTTCTAAAACTTGACAATAAACTAATACAGATAACACGTTCTAAAACTTGACAATAAACTAAAACACGTTCTAAAACTTGACAATAAACTAATACAGATAACACGTTCTAAAACTTGACAATAAACTAATACAGATAAC